TGTGAAATCTCTCTCAAATATCTCTCTGTATGAGAAATCTCTCCAAGAATGTCAAATCTCTCCCAAATCTCTCCAAGTATATGAAATCTCTCTCAAATATCTCTTTGTATGAGAAATCTCTCCAAGAATGTCAAATCTCTCCTAAATCTCTCCAAGTATGTGAAATCTCTCTCAAATATCTCTCTGTATGAGAAATCTCTCCAAGAATGTCAAATCTCTCCCAAATCTCTCCAAGTATGTGAAATCTCTCTCAAATATCTCTTTGTATGAGAAATCTCTCCAAGAATGTCAAATCTCTCCCAAATCTCTCCAAGTATGAGAAATCTCTCCCAAATCTCCCTCAAATAGTTCCCGTAACTTTTTAGATTTATTCGGGTTATTCCGGACCTTAACCGGGTCAAAAACGGCTTAAAACGGGGCGAAAACGAGAAAAATAGGCCTTATGAACCGAAACCGGAATGAGAGGCCTCTTAGGACCAGAACCGAGCCTCTGGTGGCTGAGGCATGCGAGACCGAGCCTCGGTCTCTGCCTCTCTCGGTGTCTCTTCTGGTCGCTCTGCCTCTCTCGGTCTCTCTTCTGGTCGCTTTGCTCCTCTCGATCGCTACCCGCCGCTCGGTCTCTTCTGGTCGCTCTGCTCCTCTCGGTCGCTACCCGCCGCTCGGTCTCTTCTGGTCGCTCTGCTCCTCTCGGTCTCTACCCGCCGCTCGGTTTCTTCTCGCTCGGTCTCTACTCCGCCCTCTGTCTCTTCGCGCCCTCTGTTCTCTCCTTCCCCCTCTCGGTTCCTTTCCCTCTCTCTTCTCCCCTCTCGGTTTCTGCCTCCCTCTCTCTCGGTTCAGCACCAGAAGGCCGAACCTCGGCCAGACTTCGGGAAATTGTCACTTTTAGCCCATTTTTGATATTTTTAACATTTTAAGCCCGTTTTTTGTGATTTTAAAGCGGGATTTTCTCCAGAAATTATATTTTAACATAATAAACTCTAAATATTCATAATTTAAACATATTTTTATGAAAATCATTATCTAAATAATAAAGATCTAATGGGGGATTTATTTAAGGTGGAGTGTTGACTTTGCCTTAACTTATGACACAAGCAACCACCCCACACCCACCTATGACCAGCCATACCTCCCCACCTTACCTATGTCACTTCAATGTTCCCTTACACTCAAATTTCACTCACTCCCACGTTTTTGAGCTGGAACAAACAACCACACTCCTCATTTTCTCTCATTTCTCTCATTCCACTAAGTAACAAACACCACTTTTCTCTCAAACTCTTCTACACAAATTTTCGAGATTCAAGGCTGATTTCAAGTGTTCTTCCACACTTAGTAAGTAAAAATTCATCCTCCCTATTATTATTTCACTTCATTCTACTCAAATCTTTGATTTCTTACACAAACTCCATAACTATAATGTTAGATTCTCGAAAACCTTCAAGGCATCTCCAAGTGTTCTTGAATTAAACACTTCCATTCTTCAACAATCATCTACTGAAATCACTTAAGGTGAGTTCATACCCCTACATTTTCATGTTTTCTCAAGGGGGGGGGGGTACAAGTTAAAACATCAAGAACATAACTAAATATTTCTAACAGCCTTCATCAGAAAAGTTCAACTCCATTCACGGACTGTTTTGGACATCTTAAACATTTTTGTTTTCAAAACTGTACAAGGTGCAAATAGTTCAAATTTGTAGCTTTAAAATGACTACTTGCACATCTCCATACGATTTTTCTACAATTTATGGTGATTTTTACAAAACTGCCTATCATTTCAAACAACAATCCGGACCAGTCTGTGATTATGGACTTTTTCACACAAGTTGGAGGTCATTAAAAATCGTGATAAAAATTATGAGTAAACTAGACACATTTTGTGAACTCTCAGAATTTACGGATCTAGTTTTCGACTTCGTATGATTTTTCTATGATTTTTCCAAAACAGGGCAGAATTGCTAAAGTTAGCCAACAGCAAGTAAATATCATAACACTTTGTATTATGTTGAGCAAAGTGTATAATCATAAGTTCTAATATTTGAATGTGTTTCCTTGTTAGTTTATCATTATGAACTGAAACTAAGTCATTCATATTCAATATTATTCATTCATTTAGAACACGTATTATGTAACTACAAAAAGTATAGTTCGATAAATTCACAACACTAATACATTTCCATAAAAGAATTCATACATATTATATACATTTTAGATAAACTATAATAGGTATAGTTTATGATACATCACTCAACACACTCGTAAAAAAAGGGTACATTCATACAAGAAAGATTTATATCCACACACATTTCACGTAAACTTGTTAACCTATGTTGTGAGACTCTCTCTCTCCCCGTACGTCCGAGTGCGGGATATAATTCCTGGTAGTTATAATCAGAATCTCCTTGAGGGAGAACGTGATACTTGTATATAGATCTATATTGGGTTTGACACCCCACACCTTGCTACTAGCTACAGTGGGACCTGCAGGTCTACGGGTGACAAATGTCATTTCATTTTCGCGACGCCTGAGAAACGTTGTGGCAGGTTCACATAGTCACAGTATGATTATAGCGACTCACCTAGAGAGATAACAATTCATAAAGTTTACGGGGTTTCATAAAACCGAAGTAGGTTTTAGGTTGATAAAAGAAATTTACTTTCCTTATCATTTTAAACTCACGACATTTCTACTAAGTAATGATGATTTCTCATACATTTTAGTCTTTGGTTATAAGGCTACATTTTCGGATTTCAAGGAAAAATATCGGATTTTTCTGAAACAAACGTGACATTTACATGTGAAAGACTTCTACTATGTTTATTAATAAAAGCTTATGAACTCACCAACCTTTGTGTTGACACTTTTCAAACAACTTGTATTCTCAGGATAACACTAATCGGGTAATCAAGTGCTTTTGAGGATGGGACGTTAAGGCGTCAAACTTTTCATATTTTGTCAACATATTGTAATTGATTTTGAAACATGTAATTCTTACAAGTGATGTAACTTTTTCAATTATATATATGTTGGTTGTGTTTGCTTAAATTACTATTGAAATTGTGGTTATGATACTATACATGAAGTCCTCCACCCCCGGACGTTTCCGCCATCCTTGGTTTGGGGGTGTGACAACTGTTGACCTTGACTATTGGCTTTGACTTTGACCATGGTTGACCAAGTTTGACCTTAAGGGTATTTTTGGGAATTCGGGATTTTGATGGAGTTCGTCACATGGTGGTTGAGTTCGGAGCTGCGATTCGAGGGTTGGATCGTATCAGTCAATGCTACCTGTGAGGTGAGTTTCCTCACTATACTTAGGGGTCGAAGGCACCAAGGTCGACCCATTAGATTGATATCCTAGTAGTTATTGATATGCTGAGTATGAATTAGTTATGCATGCTAGTTTGGGAGATCTGTAGGACTACCTGTGATACTGTCTAATTATCTATATGTACAATTATCTGTTACATGTCGACATGTTGTATGGGTAGGGTTGAGGTTGTATTGCTCTGTGCGGTAGCCAACAAACCATGGAGTATGCCAGATATGAGTTGAGGGCCAGGGAGGACATGCCAGACACATAATGAGGACTCATGAGCATTCCAGATACAAGCTGAGGGTCGGGCATGGCATACCGGACTCGTACTGTGGGCTAATCTTTTGTATTCCAATCCAATGATTGAGGGAGCAAGCCAGACATAAGTTGTGGGCTCGATTGGCAAGCCAGACTTATGTTGTAGGCTCGGGAGCAATCCAAAGATGACTTGTGGGCCGGATAGGCAAGCTAGACTCATGTTGTGGGATCAGGGTAATCCAGTCTATATAGTTGTGGACCCATTACATGATGTTATTATTGTATGCTATTTGTTATGTATCGGTATTTTGGGGGAACTCACTAAGCTTCTGGCTTACGGTTGTGGATTTTGTTTTAGGTACTTCGGATGACCGCGGGAAGGCGAAGGCTTGATCGTGCACCTCCTCACATTTTATGTCATGGTTTCTGGGATTCTCTGATGTTATATGATTTTGAAAACAATTTGTAAACAATGAATGATTTTTTTGATGTTTAATTTTTCATGAATTTTACGGATGTTACAGAGTCGTACTCGGAATTGGGGGAAATAAGTTTGAAGCTGAAATTTAGGAAAACAGGTGAGAATATTGATAGAGTAGTGAAATGCGATCGATTAGAAGGGAAATGTCCAAATTTCATATATATGCTTTTTGGTAATAAACGCCCATTCATTTTGTCATGGGGAATAAGAAGTAGGTATTCAGTTTTTTTAGTGGCACACATAGTAAAAATCAAACAATAAAACTTTAGTGGCATATAAAAAAACAAATGACATATAAAAAAACAAATGACACAAAATATAGAGTTTTGAATGGCACTTTACTTTTTATGCCTCTAAAAATATTAATATTAGTGATATAAATTGTTTAGTATCATTACATCTATTAGTTTTATAGTAGCATATAAAATGTCACTAAAAGGTAAAAGCATGTTGTAGTGACATAAAAAGGATATTCCATTAAAAATGTATGTCATTAAATGTCATTTTGTATATAGTGGGGATTAAAAAATTTAATCCCTAACACATAGTATGAAAAAAAAAAAAAAAAATAGTCTTTAATATGATCATTATTTCATTCTCCAGAATGTTACCTTGGATGCCTGATTTTATGCGATACAACTCCCTGACTATTCAAGGACCAAATAGAGTTATTCTTTTGAGACGGACCATAGCAACACTTATTTAACACAAAAGATAAAAATACTCTATGATATCATCTATAGGACTTGTATTTATTTTAAATATAACTGATTATTAGCTGAAAATTTAGTTATTGTCATATGAATCTTAAAATTCACATCTAAGCAAAATGATCACCAGTTAGAATAGGTGTTTTGTGAATCAGCTATCCCAGGACTTCTTCAGATCTTCTCAAAATAATCCACCAAGCACAGCAGAGGAGCCTCCTAGTTCGGGTGCATGTCTTATAACATTTCATCTTCCTCTTCATCATCGTATTCATATCCGTATCCGTATTGGTCTTCGTAGTCATCTTCATACTCATATATGTATTTGTCTTCGTTGATGTCTTCATCTTCAACATCGAAACCAAATGAATGAAGAAGCCTTCTTGACCCACAAAAATGCAGACCTACTATCAGATTATGAATGCCCTGCGGAATAAACCATACGCTTGTACCTACTATATTTAAGAATTCTAAACTTTCTAATTCGCCAAGATCCTCAGGTAACTTCTCCAGCAAAGAACATTCACGCAGGTTGAGAACTCTCAGTTGTTTCAACATACAAATGCTATCCGGAAGATACCTAATATATGTATATGGCAAACGCAACACCTGTAAACATACTAACCCACTGAGATCCTCAGGCAACTTTTCAAGCACTGAACAATGATCAAGATCGAGATATTCCAGATGCTTCAACATACAAATGCTATCTGGGAGATTTCTAATCTTTGTATATGACAACCGCAACACCTCTAAACAGTCTAACCCACCAAGATCTTCAGGTAACATCTCAAGCAACTGACATTCATCAAGTTTGAGAACTTTTAGATGTTTCAACATAGAAATACTATCTGGAAGATATTTAATCTTTGTATGATGCAAACGAAGCTTCTCTAAAAACTCTAATCGGCCAATATCATCGGGTAACTTCTCAAGCAACCAACATTGAGCTAGGCTGAGAAGTTTCAGATGTTTCAACATACAAATGCTATCTGGAAGATGCCTAATCTTTGTAGATAACATCAGCAGCACCTTTAAACAGCGTAACCCACTGAGATCCTCAGGTAACATCTCAAATGATGCCCAATCATGAAGTTTGAGAACTTTTAGATGTTTCAACATAGAAATGCTATCTGGAAAATGTTTAATCTTTGTATAAGATATGTGCAGCTTATCTAAACACTTTAATTGACCAAGATCCTCAGGTAACTTCTCAAGAAACCAACAATCACCTAGGTTGAGAGATTTCAGATGTTTCAACATACAAATGCTATCCGGAAGATGTTGAATCTTTGTAGATGACAAAGTTAGGTGCTCTAATGACTCTAATTGGCCAAGATCCTCAGGTAACTCCTCAAGCAAAATGAAATTAAGTTCGAGAGATTTTAGATGTTTCAACATACAAATGCTATTTGGAAGATGTTTAATCTTTGTAGATGACAAACTGAGCTGTTCTAATGACTCTAATTGGCCAAGATCTTCAGGCAACTTCTCAAGCAACTGACAATTAGTAAGTTTTAGAGATTCTAGACGTTTCAACATACAAATGCTATCTGGAAGATATTGAATCTTTGTATATGACAAAGTTAGGTGCTCTAATGACTCTAGTTTGCCAACATCTTCGGGTATCTTCTCAAGCAACGTACAATTATCAAGTTTCAGAGATTCTAGATGTTTCAACATATAAATGCTATCTGGAAGATGTTGAATCTTTGTAGATGACAAACTGAGGTGTTCTAATGACTTTAGTTGGCCAAGATCCTCAGGTAACTTCTCAATCAACTGACATCTATCAAGTTGAAGATATTTTAGATGCTTCAATATGCTAATGCTATCTGGGAGATATTCAATACTTGTAGATGACAAGTTTAGCTTCTCTAAATATCTTAACCGGTGAAGATCCTCAGATAACTTCTCAAGTAACTTACAACCATCAAGTTCTAGAGATTTCAGATGTTCCAACTTCCAAATACCATCTGGAAATTCAACCAGATCACTGCATCCTGTAAGAGTCAATGTCTCGAGATTTGGAACCAACCGAAGGTCAAGGGTCTTCAACTTTGAATAACTGAGATCAAGGAATCTGAGTTTCTCAAGAACCTAACAGCATAAGTAAAAAAAAAACATCTTATATATAGGTGTCATAAGTCATAACAAAGCAATTGGTGTATAGTTAATCATTAAAAACAATCAGTCAACCATAATTCTACCTTTCTTTCTCCCCCTTCCCAAAGGAGTATGATTTTGCTGCGACGCATCTCAAGTGTAACAAGATTACTTGCTTGAAATGTTTTAGGTAAAGACGTAAATGGGTATTGATTAAAACTCAAATATTCTAAAGTATCTGGAAAGCTTGGGCTAAATGTATCAAGTTCAAGGTTCCACAAACAATCTCTCATATCCACATAAAGAAATCTAAGTGCCTTCATCTTTGCAAGACCTTTTATAAGAATATATGGATCGAGTTTCTCAGTGTACAATCTTATACATCTTGTTTCTTCAGTACCCTGTAAGGTGGTCAACATGAAAAGTTGTGTCATTATAGATTAACAAAAAAAAAAAAAAAAAAATCAGATTTCTCCAACTTATAAATTAACTTGATCCTTACCAAGTCATTAGCCAAAATATGTTCAATTTCATCATTCTTCCACAATCGGCTATGTTTTTGAGGCATTTTCGGGTGCAATCGACGAACAATATTCATGCCCATTTCTCTAAGATGGTCATGCATGGACACAAACTCATATCCTCGATAGACATGAACGGTTATGAGAGATTTTAATTGAAGAACCCTTAAACCAATTTTAGCACAAAATCCACAGCTCTCAAGCACTTTGATTACTTGGTCCTTCCGGGTCCCACCTTTCATTATGCATGCAACATCTAGAAATATTTCCTTGTAATCATCCTCTAGAGCAGTATAGCTTAATTCCAATATTTTCAGAGTTTTTGCTAACGGAATAGTTTTTAACCTTTCTAAGGCATCTTTCCACTCAACCTTATCTTTACCAAACAAGAGTGAACCCAAAACTTTGATCGTTAAGGGAAGACCAGAAGCATAATGTACAACTTGTTCCGATAATTCTTGGTACCCTTGAACTGGAATCTCTCTCCCAAATGCATACCTACTGAAGAGGCAACTTGCTTCTTTATCCGATAACAGATTGACATCATGAATCAAAGTCACCCTATGTGCTAGAAGTACTTGCTTGTCTCTTGTTGTAATGATAATTCTACTTCCCGACTTAAACCAATCATGCTCACCAGCTAATGCCTCAAGCTGTTCTATATCATCTACATCATCTAGAGCAATAAGAACCTTTCTACCACGCATCCTCTTTTTCAGAATGTTTTGCCCTTCATGAACACCACTTACTCTGATGTCTTTATCATTTAAGACATCTGAAAGGATTTGTTCTTGCAATGACTTTAAACCAGACAAAGGAGTGTTTGTAACTTCTCTCACATTCTCAACAAAGCTTTTACCTTCGAACCGAAACGATATTTTATCAAAAACAGCTCTAGCCAGAGTTGTCTTCCCAGCACCTCCCATCCCCTTGATCCCGATCATGCGAACATCATTAATACCTATATCTAAAGATGATACAAGATCATTTACTCGGGTCTCAATACCAACTAATTTTTTATCATAGCTGAAATTGATGGTGTGTAGCTCTAGTGATATATCTTCAACGATTTTTTGGATGAACTTGGCTTCATGCCTGCATTTTTGGAAAAAGATTCAATTAGCTTGCTTAAACTCCCTCGTGAAAATTTACTTTTAGATCTATAACATATAAACGTATATGAAGTGATTAAACAAAGTAATATAATCATATTTCATGTTTAATGACTCCAGTTTGAGCAATTAGAGTGTACGTGGGTCCCCATTCTAAACAACGACTAAAATATTTTGAGTTGAAATTTGAGATTAATCCAGCATCAGACGCCATGTACAAACCTTTTACATACATGTAAACATAACAAGAAAGATAAAAAAAAAAATGCAAGCATATTGCAGAGATATGATGAAGAAGGAATTACCCATCAGCAGTGTTCTTCAACTCCAACCCAGCAAGATCCGCTGCTTCTTTCATCGCCTCTCTCCATTTTTCAGCAGCCTCTGCTTTCTCATGTTTGGCAAAGGCTTCTCCAACAGCTCCACTTTGTTTGCGGACTTCAGTGGGTTCCACATCATAGAAAACAGGGTAAACATTATGTTGGGTTGTCTTGTGACACTCCATTATCTTCACAAGCTCATCCAAGCACCAAGATGAAGATGCATAGTTCTTGGAGAATACAATGATGTAGAATTTTGAATCTTGAATGGATCCGATGAGCTCATCACTAATCCGTTTCCGTTTCGTGATTCTCACGTCGTCCTTGTAAGTGTAAATGCCTTGTTGTTGAAGAGCATGATAAAGATGATCAACGAAGTTCTTACGAGTGTCTATGCCTCTAAAACTTAAAAATACATCGTATTTAAAGCTCTTCTGCTTGGATGAAGTTGAGGAAGACGCCATTGATGGTATGCTTGATGGATCTTATGAAATCAAATATATTCCTAGGGAAAGCTTATGTGAAACGATTGCAAAGAAATATTTGGAAGAGAAGAATTAAAAGGCTTAAAGTGTATATGTGAAAATGTCAACTGTTGTAGCTCTGGAAGGTGATGTGTTTGTATGGATAAAAATATCATAAGATTCCTTATTTAAACAATTGAAAAAGAATTGTTCTTGATTGTTAAAAAGTCAACGGTTGTATCTCTGGAAGATGATATGTTTGTTTGGATAGAAAAACTTTAAGACTCCTTATTTGAAGTTTGAGCAATTAAAAGAAAACTGTTCTACTTGATTCGTTTAGGGATACAACTTGTAAATAATTAAAATTTTTGATAGCGGACTTTTGATCATTTAAAAAAAAATGGTGATGTCATAATTAGAATTCGTTGTCTGTCAAAGAATAAGCATAAACATGATGGAGATGGAGGGTTTTGATTTCTTATTTGGGAAGAAAATGTTGATAGACCAAGAAGGACCCTATGGATTTGTTAATCCTAAAACTTGCCCGATCATGAATGTTATTATTCAAGTCCCTTAAAAGTTAAAAGACTTTAAAAGGAGTTACAGAAATGATCCCTTAAATATGTTTAAATACAGTTATTCTATGTTTTACTCTTGCACTCTCTTTTCCTGTTAACTACAATTTTACAAAAATTATCTTATATTTTTCAAACTTTTTAATAAATGTAGAAAGACCCAATCTAATTCTTTTAAGACCAGTTTGATTACATAGTGATTTACTTAAACTTAATGATTATTTTAAACATGTTAAATCTTCTAATTTTATAGTTCTTGAACTACTTGTCACAAGACCTGCTAAAAGGTTTTATTTCCTAGTAAAACTCAAAAATTAATCGGAAAATTTTATTAGTTTATACATTGATGATTTAAATTTACAAAAATGTCTAGAAATAGTGAATCTTAAATGTAGAGCAGATAAAAATAAACTATTGAACAAGTTCAACTGGTGCTATTATCTATGTAATTTTAATTAATTAGTACTTCAGATTTTTTTTTTTTAATCTCAATAGACAAAGTAGCAAAGAGAAAATAAATTACCATTTTGTTCTGAAAGTTACCATACAAGTTAACCATTATTTAAATTAAATACTTATAGACGGTTTTACTATTGTGCATACAGTGGTACCGGCAACGCCTAATTTTTCTGTATGCAGTGTAAAAGTTTTTGATTTTATTTTTTATTTTTTTATACTATTGTGACACGACTAAAATTTCCCGTGTCTACTATGAAATCCTGTGACCATCCCTTAACCTAGTATCTTTTTTTTAGAACGGCAATCACAATAATTTGTACACTACTCCTAAACTACTGCTTTCGTCTCCAGCGATAATAGAACTCTCAACCTTTAGTTGCAAGCACCCTTTCACAAACATCTGATACCGCTACCGGTGGGCTACAAACTCTTTGGTATGTGACCTAGTGTCACCTCATCCACTACTAGAAACAGGGTTTCAGATACGGAAAAATCCTTCGCTATTCCGTCGCTAAAGAAAGATTGCGACGGATAAGCAATAAACATACTCTCTAGCCAATTAGAGTGTGGCTAATAACCTAGCGACGGATTACTTTTTCCTTGCGACGACCTTAGCGACGGATCATCCATTGCAAATTCGTCACTTGATACAATTATGCAGGACATCGGCGACAAAACTCGGCACCATTATCCGTCGCTAATCCCTCACAAAACTCTATTCTATGTTTTTTTATATTCTGTCGCTGATCCCTCTCAAATTTAATATATGATTTTTTTTTTTCTTTTCCATTGCTGATCCCTCGCAAATGAGTAATATCAACTCTTTTTTTTTTTTTTTTTGTGTGTGTATTACAAATCTAAAACAAAAAATAATTATACAATCCAAAATCAAACATTATCACTTAAATACCAAAAACATTAAATAAATATATAATCCAAATCCAAACATTAACAATGAAATACCAAAGTTAAACACTCATTGCTATTTGATTTCAAAGTATAATATAAACATATTTCTGCATTTCCTCTCATATTTTGCATTTCCGAATATATCTTTTCTATTGTTTCATATCTTGCATCCGAAAGAAGGATTGAAATGGAATTGGATTCCGATTCTTGTTCAATCTCATTGAATTAGGCAAACCAAGTGACACTTACTTATTCCTGTAATGGAAGGAGACTTTGTTGGAAGCATTTGAAACCAAGTGTTGGACCGGAATGGAATTCAATTCCCATTCCGACCAAAAAGTAAATGGTAATATATGTTGGTGAAAGAAAATACCGTGTTTGCATACTGGTCTTCGGAAATTGTCTTTTCTCCTAGCATTTGATTCTTTGAACATTTGTGTTGAGTATTACAAAGCATCTACAATATTTTTAATTAGGAAGAAAATTATAGAACTACCCTTCTTTATCAGCACAATTTCACATATTATCTAAAGTTTATATTCATGTAAATAGAGTCTGACCCAACAATCTTTTACGAAAAAATATAGTTCTCTTTTATATCAAATAAATGAGAAATAACTTACATAAACTTTGGCAGTAGACTTTGGATCAAAGAAAAGTCATTTCATCACCTTAAAAATTATACAAATATCTATATATAATAACAAATCATAAACCAAGGTTTTCTAATAAAAATATGCATAATTAAACACTAATCTTTCATTCCAAAACATTTGAGATGGATCTGAGGGCAAACTTCTAGTGCATCAGTTGTTTGCAAGTTTCATTTAAGGACAAGAATGATCACAGATAGTAAACAAGTTTCCATGATTATGTACAATTGTGAAGAAAAGGTTATCCGTTGTTAATCAAACACAAATAAAAGGGAGCATAACGGTTAATCGTCTTAGTGTCTCTTTCAATTTGTTTCACATGTGAAAAATACATACCTTGCAAGCAACCAATTGTTGAAATAGTCAAAAACATGATCATGATTGAGTTTGTGATAAAATGCTTTTAAGAAAGGACCTGAAGATACACCTTGGATTCACTTAGAATCATGTATCACTGAAAATTGTGCTTCACCTGTAAAAAAGAGTTTAAATGGTTTGTCAACACTCTACCATTACAGGGGAAAAAAACAAGGTAACAAGCTATCAGGAACTCTTCTAAATAACTACAGAGGTAAATGCAGATTGCCTTCTTTAATTTTTTTGACTACCCCAGATTCAGATTATCTCCTGTTCAGTTAAACAAACCAAAATACTATGCTTTACACATCATCCTTATGCTGTTTTTCTTTAGCCAGGTTTCTCTTTTGTGCATGGGCCATGTGTGTATGAGCTTATGGTGATCCTGCAACGTGAATCAAGAAAAAAAAAAAGCATTAGTTAGTAGGACCAAACAAGCTTTATATGGCTATTTCTGATGATGAAGAGGAGGAGGAAGGCATTTATATCTTTGTATTTTAAGAAAAAAGAAAGAAGTTTCAAATAGACCGACACCCAACAAAGCATATATATGGAAGGTTTATAGGAAGAATAAGAAAAAAGGTGGTGCACCTTGAAATTGGTGGCATAATTTACTTCTTTTCTTATACCATATGTCTCATCTAATCATTATGTCGTAAAGACTCCGGCTGCAATTAAACAATAAATTAAAATCCATTATTTCTGACTAAAAAAACTAAAGACAATACAATACAATACATACCCAATACACATGAGTAAGTGAGGTGAGATCCTTTGGGTCAGGAATATGATTTTCATCAAACTCACATTCTTACATTCTTTCGGCTCCTCTGGTTCACGTGATTTCTATCAACAAACAAAAAGATAAAAGTATATTATATAAAAAGAAATGGTGATTGGTGAAAAGAAAATGATAATTTTAGTTGAGAGAGTAGTTTCTCAGTGTTCTTAGGGAAGGAAAAAGCATCACATGTTTCCTATGCATCATAAATTGAAGACTGAATGGTGGTGGAATGGAATCCATTATTTTTGGCATGATGATTTTTGTTAATGTGGGCAGCAATTGCAACATCAAAAGAATCACAGCTGTATGAAATCTGTTGATGACATGGAGTGGGACCCACTGCATTATGAGATACCTCAGAGAGCAGATCACCTACGCTTAACGCTTATGTTAGTAAGACTATTAACCGATTCCAATGTAGACAATCCCATTCCCACACTTCCACCAATACCAATACCAATACCATTGTCAGTGTTGTTACGTTCTTCACCCTTACCAAACCAACCATACCTTAAAAAACACAAAAACCATGATCAATGATTTTTCTTAGAATGTTGTAAAAATTGTTGTTAAAAAGAAATGAAAAATTAAAGAGAGAGAAACCTTAAACAGAAAATCGAAGGGCTCCCAATTAAGACGGAATCCTGATTCCACTTCTGAGAATTGGATAGATTTGATGTTTGAGCATCATAAGGCACAAGTTTTAATTCTCCACAGTAGAGCTAGCCCATTTACATGTCATATGTTCCAAAACGGATGATATTTTCTTTATGTGTACTTAAAGTCAGCTCCAGATGCGAGTTGTGATTGTCCTAACAAAAAATATTATTATTATTATTATACAGATAAAGATAAAGTACAAAATTTATTATTGTTTCTTACCATTTCCAAGACTCTACCTGTAGTTTCATCAACAGGGAAAAGTTGAACTTTAAGTTTCATTGAAGACAAGATATTTTGATGAAAAATTGGCACATGTGTGTGTATTACCGTGACTTTAAGAGCAGGAAAGTTGTTTTCTCCTCTCTATAAGTATGTGTAATAAGATTCGGTCTTCAGTAGTAGTCAGGTGGCTACAGGATTTTCCATAAAAAATAAAAAAAAAAAGAATCTAGAACTACCACATATTGCAGCAGCCTTACAGTTAATTCATAGGAAAAACAATTTTATGCAATAAGGAAAGATGAGGCAGAAGAGCTGGTGGTGGTGAATCTGTAGGAGTGGCGTTTAGGGTTAAAAGAATAGCAGGGGTGGTGTGAAGAT